AATCACAACAAAAGTGGCCTCTTTTTGACAAAATATATTTAAGGAAATGTATATCAGATAAAGAATGATTAATTATAACATTTATGTATATGAGAATGTGAGAATTAATTGCCATATCATTCTGTAGACAAAAAGTGCAATACAATTTTTTTGTAAATGACAATTGGTTTGCATGTAGATCATTCCTAAATTGAAACACTTACATTCAAAATTATAAAAATGCAGATCTTTCACTGAAGCCATGATGATCATGTTATTTATGAGATTGTGTGACCTAAGATTTTCTGTTATCCCCCCACTCCCTAAAATATTAGCTAATATATGTCAGCGCCCTAATCATCAAATTCCAAAAAACAATTTCTTACAATTAAAAAATTTCCATGATTAAGCCTTTAAAAATGCCTCAACAACAGCAATCATCATCATCCATTAAAAAACATGTATATACAGTATCTGATTTAAAATCATTTGTTTTTATAAATTTTATAAAAATCATTTTCTAATAAAACATAATAAAGGGCGCACAATTTTGCATAATCACCAAGTGTTGCATAATTTAATGTTTGTTGCCGCATAAATCTGGGGTCTCTCTCTACATCATGCTAAACGAAACACCGACTTGTTTGATTAAAAGAAGAGCGGTTCAATATCGGAAATTTACATAAAAGATTATATTTTTTTTCAAGGGAGAACAAATATATATATATACGCTTAATTTTTTTATTGAGATGGGACCGGACCAATCATTTTATGCGTAATTGTAAACCTTTTCTAACAACTTTGTACAATAAGGATAATCATTCCAAATATGGCTATTTATTTAAGTCTTTTTTCCCCAAGCCTTTTTTTGTTCTACATACAAACTTTCTTTTGAATTAATGTCTCATTACGAAAGTAATAATCTTCCTGAAAATGAATATTCACAATTCAGTGAATATCCACCACAAATTAGCACACAAATTTCACAGGACAATCCCGATGAAGTTTCCTCACCTTTATTAACTGATACTCAAAATTCTTCTGGTCTTCGTTATGGTGACATTCCTAGACGTCAACCAAGACGTTATAAAACTACCAAGAGAGTAGAGTTATATGAAGGAAATGTAGTTATAGACTGTCCAGTACCTTCAAAACTTTTATCAATGATTCCAAGGAAAGATGAAATCGAATTTATTCAAATGAGATATACGGCATGCACTTGTGACCCTAATGATTTTGTAAAACAACAGTATACACTTCGTCAAAAACAACTTCACAATCCTCCAAGATCAACTGAATTATTTATTATACTTACTATGTATAATGTAATTAGTTATCTCAAATATTCGAGTATTATACAATGATTTAAAAATATAATTATTAATATTTTTTAAATTAACAAATTTTTTATTTTTATGTACAGGAAAATGAAGTCCTTTTTGCTCGAACTTTTCATGGTGTGATGAAAAACATTGCACATTTATGTACCCGTAATAATTCACGAATGTGGGGTAAAGAAGGGTGGAAGAAAGCAGTAGTGTGTATTATATCAGATGGTAGATCAAAAATTAATGAAGTCACTTTGAAATATTTAGCAGCAATAGGAGTTTATCAAGAGGGTGTTGCCAAAAATAAAATTGATGGAAAAGAAGTCACTGCTCATATTTATGAATATACAACCCAAATTTCAATTGATAGTGAAATGAAATTTAAAAAATCTGAAGATGGAATATTTCCTGTGCAAGTGATATTTTGCTTAAAAGAAAAGAATGCAAAAAAAATTAATTCTCATCGTTGGGCTTTCAATGCATTTGGTCCTATCTTATATCCTAATGTTTGTGTTCTTCTTGATGTTGGTACTAAACCAGGAACCACTTCTATTTATCATTTATGGAAAGCATTTGATCTCAATCCAAATATAGCAGGCGCATGTGGTGAAATTATTGCTATGAAAGGTTCTGGAGGTGTAAATCTACTAAATCCATTAGTAGCTGCTCAAAATTTTGAATATAAAATTTCCAACATTCTTGATAAACCATTAGAGTCAGTATTTGGTTATATCACTGTATTACCTGGTGCATTTTCAGCTTATCGTTATGTTGCACTTCAAAATGGCAAAGATGGCAATGGCCCATTAGCATCATATTTCTTTGGCGAGACTTTACATGGTGATGATGCTGACATTTTTAAATCAAACATGTATTTGGCTGAGGATCGTATTTTATGTTTTTTGCTGGTTGCAAAACCAGAATCTTCTTGGGTATTACATTATGTTAAATCTGCTTATGCTGAAACTGATGTGCCAACAAGTGTGTCTGAATTAGTGGCTCAGAGAAGGCGTTGGTTAAATGGATCACTCTTTGCTGGTTTATATGCTTTATTTCACACTTTGGATATTTGGAAAACTGATCATTCTAAATTTCGCAAAATTTTATTACAAATTGAAATGGTTTATCAGGCCTTTAATTTGGGATTTTCATGGTTTGGCCTGGTAATTACATATTTTAAAAATATATGTTTTAACAAATATAATTTCCTTTTTCATAAGATTTAAATTACGTTTTTAGGCAAACTTATATTTATCATTTTATATTATTGGTAATTCACTCACAAATGGAAGTGCAATTGAAGGTTTATGGAGTGCAACTACTGGTGAAATTGTTTTTCAATTCTTACGATATGTTTATTTAACACTATTAGTTCTACAGTTTATTTTGGCAATGGGAAATAGGCCTCAAGGGTAAATACTCATTGTTATTTTGCTTTTATTCATTACTTTATATAAATTTAATGATGGAATTCTACATGTAAAGTATTGAATAATAAGTACTGCTTCTCTTTTTTGTGAAGTCTAATCAACTAGTGGATAGTGTTTATCATCTAACTTTTTTAACTCTAAACTTTAAATATAGAGCAAAATGGGCCTACATAGTTTCAATAATATTTTATGCTGGAATTATGGTTTATGTGTTATTTGCAACAAGTTGGTTAACCTATCGAGGTGTTCAAATTCAAACCAATGATTTAAGTGATCCTGATGCAACAATTTCAACAGCAAGTATTATATTTGGAAATCAAACTTTTAGAAATATCATATTGTCAGTAATATCAACTATAGGCTTGTATTTATTGGCTAGCTTTATGTTTTTAGAACCTTGGCATATGTTTACAAGTTCAATACAATATTTGTTGTTGATTCCTTTTACCATTAATGTATTAAATGTTTATGCTTTTTGTAATGTACATGATGTCAGGTAAAAGGAATTTATCTGAAAGCATTGATTTGATTATTTGTTAGATATTTTGGTAATTTAAAAATTTATTTAAAATAGTTGGGGAACAAAAGGTGAAACAAAAGTAAAACAAGACCCGGGACCAGTAATCATAACAAATCCAGAAAAGGGTACAGCTGAAGTTGAAGAGCCAACTGAACCAAAAGATGTTAATCAAGCATATCAAGATGCAGTAGAAGAAATATCATCATTCTACACAGAGCCACCTAAAAAGCGATCAAAAGATGAAAAAATAGATGATTATTATAAAGCTTTTCGTACAAGGGTTCTTTTGGTTTGGATTTTAACAAATGCTGCCTTGGTAGCAGCAATAACCAATTCAAGTGAAACCTTAACTCAGTTATTACCACAACAAGATAGATCTAATCTTTACATGACTTTTATACTGTGGTCAATTGTTGGTTTGGCTGCATTTAGATTTTTTGGTAGTTGTATCTACCTATTATTTAGAGCCTTGGTTGGCTAAACAATTTTATGATTTATTATTAATAGAGAAATCCTTTTTTTGTGTGTTGTTATTAGATTTTTGGAATATATAATAAATTTTAATTTATTCTAATTGTTCAAATAAACTAAATGAGTTAATGTTAATTATGTGATATATGTGATATAACCAAATTGTGATAATGACCTTTATAAGTTTTTTAATAGGTGATAATTGCAATAATTGGTGACGTGCCCGAGTGGTCAAGGGGCCAGGTTTAGGGTCTGGTATGGGAACATGCGTGGGTTCGAACCCCACCGTCACCA